TTTGTGGCAGACTATTATTATTATAACAGACCATAAAAATAAAGCAAATGAGAAATATTAAGATATTGATATACCGAATGAAGTAATTGAACCAATAGACGATGAAATGAAGAAATTGAACCAATAGACGATGATTGATCCAATTGAATGCAGTGATGATATTAATATGTGAAATTTCGTTTCTAAAATTGATGATGTGTATAACCATCTAACTCAAACGGCTGAAGATAAATTTAAAGAATATTATTTTAATAAAGTAATCGATAAAGTAAAAGATTCATTGCAAGAACTATTTGAATCGTATAACTTTTAAAATCAAATTTTGGTTTTCTTTTTGATAATAAAAAGCTTAAAACTATGAATTCAAATAAATTCAATACTTTTTCAATTTTTTTTTTCAATCGTTCAAATCTGGTCAAACACTTGGAAAATGATGTTGAGGAGGAGGAATTCAAAAAAGAACTTTCTATTTTAAGATAAATTTTAGAAGATAATTTTAATACTATAGAGAATTCGGAATTCATTTTAGAAAGGAATTTATAAGAATTTCCAAACGTATGTCATTAGGGTGTCCCATTCCGGCAAAATTTTCGAATTACCACACCAACTTTTAAATTCAAGTTTAGACTAAGAAAAAAATAACATTTACTAAGTATTTTTAAAAAATATAAAAATTTAAGGGTTCCCTCATTCAGTAAAAGTTGAGCAAATCCTTTTTTACCGTGTTTTGTGAGTATTTTTGTTCAAAATGTTGACAAATATATTCCGCAACATCTTCAACTTTTCACACAGTATAATTTACTATCTTATTTATACTGTATAAAAAATTTGAGTTAAAAAAAATTCATTTAAGGGTCTCCCCGAATTGAATAATCAAGTGGTTTTGTAATTTGGCATCGTCAGAAAGTAGTTATTAACCGTAAAGGCTTAAAATATGGTTCATTATAAAAATGTGTTCATAAAACTTTATATATAGAAACGTCGTGTGTCGAAGTAAAAAGAAACGTCATGTGTCAAAGTAAAAAAGTTTGATTGTCTTATTTTAACCAATTAATTATTGTAAAACAATGATTGCGTTTAAATTTGACACTCAGTATAAAGAAAATTTATTTTCCTATTGTTTCTTTAGCAGCGTGGTCAATATAAAATTTTGTAAGTTTAAGTTGTTCATTTTAAGTTTCTTTGTTTTAGCAGTAAGTTTAATATTAACATTATTACTATTATTTAGTTTTAATGTTAGTATTATTAAATAATAAGATATAATCAATAATATAATTTGTTTAAATAATGGTTTTAATAAATTAGTGTTCTAAATGTTTCCTTTACTTTAAGAAATTAGACTTAGAGTTTTATATAGTTACAACACAAGCAATTAAGGTTTTTGTAATTGTTTGGCTTAAAAAAGTTTTTTTTTTTACTTTCAGTAAAGTAATTCGCGCCAGATTTTGTTAAACGGCATCTCAAGGATCTGCTTCTACTTGTGCTGAGTGGTAACCACAAAAATGTATCTACGTTCTCGTAAACTACCAAAACCTAGTATAAAAGAGAAAAATCGTTTAGTAGAAAAAGCAAGATTCACGCGAAATCATCATCAAGGTTACTTTATTGGATTTGTCAGTGTAAAACTTCCCTTTAAAATAGCATTGCTCAGAAGATACCTCTACTTTAGAGAAATCAACAAGGGAAGTGGTGAAATAACAGTATCGGCAAAAAGTATTTTTAAAGATATTTTGATTGAATTACAAGAAATTTGGAAAAGAGCTCACTTACCAGTTAAGCCAGATAACAAGTGTATCGAGTATTTCATTGCAGTTTTTAATTAATGGCAAACTGTGTTGAAGAAGGGAAAGAAGTGCCCGAGAAGAAACAAACCCAGTTTTTGCAATTGGTGAATCAACTCTGTGACATACCAGCTGTTGACACATATTACATATTACGCGTATCTTGACTTGCAATCTGGAAGGAGGACTGGGAGTTTTTACTGGACCATCGGAAGTATCCACAGGTAAGTTCATGCATTATTTCAATAATGTTGGTGTACTGTGTTTACTTAAGGTTATATTTTTCATTTTACGTTATTGTATTGTTTACCTCCAATTAGATTGGTTCGATGATTACAGAATAACTAAAAGAAGAAAACAGCTCTAAGTGATCAAGAAGTAGAAGAAATCATCAAGAAGAGTGAGGATGAGTAAAGCGGCTCAGAAGTCGAAGTTTGCACTCCCTTTCAGCAAAAAAAAAAAACCCAGATCGTCAACGTTTGTATTCAAATTGATCCTACAACGTTAACAAAATCATTCACTGATGCCTCCGACCGATTAGGCCTCAGCGTAAGAGATCAAATGGCTGTTGAAGCAAAAGTTGTTAAGGTGCTTCGTTACATCATTTTCCAATCTCGCGATTGTCAGTTCACCGTTACCGTAAAGTAGAACGAGAAAAAGAAGGCGCCGAAACAAAGGAGAAATATCAGGAGAAGTGCCCTCTTTATCCATCCAGTCACTGGGATTCAAAACTTATTTCGTCACTTACTGGTAAATGGGTGATTAATTTATTACTTGCTTATTGTTTCAAGTGTTTGGAATTGTAAATATTGAAAAATACTAAAATATTTAAAAACAAACATTGTTTGTTTGTAGGAAAGAAAGAGTAGCATGTTGCTATTCTGGCTAGTGGTTGGGATGGATCATCAAACAATGCAAACGAAAACGTTCTACAAATCTCTGTAATTGTCAACTCTACTGGTCACGCCCAGAAAGATGCCTTCATTAAGTGTTTTTCTTCCTGGAAACTGTTTGATAATTTTATTGCCTTAGTTTTTGACACCACCTCTAGTAACACTGGATGGAAAGCTGGATGTGCAACACTCATTGAGAAAGAAGTAGGTCATGCGCTGTTGTGAACAGCTTTTCGCCATCATGTTTATGAACTACATATTCGTCACATCTGGGATGCAGTTAATGGAAGTCATAACGGACCTATTGAGCCAATTTTAAAAATGATTCAAAACATTTGGGATTCTATTTCTCCCGAGTCTACAAATATAACAAAATTTGAGTGGCCGGAAGAGAACCATCTTATTCATCGCCAAGTAACACTCGTTCTGAACTGGGCTAGTAAGTGCCTTGAGGAGAATATCTTTCCAAGGGCCGATTATCAAGAATTGATTGAACTGATAGTTTATTATCTTGGAGGTGACTTGCCAAAAGGTAAGATGTTTAACTTCAAAAAACCGGGTGCGTATCATCGTGAAAGATTTATGCACAATGAGCTGTACACCTTTAAACTTGTTATCTTGGATCAACAGATTGCATCGCTCGATCCGGATCAACGGCATAAATTGAAAAGAATGGCTAATTTTATCGCTCTCTTTCAAGCAAAGGCTTTTTTACAAAGTCGCATCTCAGTTATTGCACCGAAAGTTGATCGTCAGTACATCGCCGATATGCAGTGGTACCGTGTTACAGACAAAATTGATTCTGATGCAGCCATTCAGTTTTGCAACAGACACCCTTGCTATTTAACTGAAGAGTTAGTTATCGATGCGATGTTTGAGGACATTTCGCCTATTGAAAGATCTGCTATGGCATTAAAATTGTACGACACCCAAAGAAGTGAAGAAATGAAGCCTGGAAAACCGTCTTTCCCGAAAGTCGATGGCGACAACTTCCCTTCCTTTGTCTCTTTAATTGGTCCACGTTTCTGGCTGTTATTTAACTTAATCTAGATGACTGCAAACTAGGTAGATTGGATGCAATTGCCTGTTGAGCACAGGATGAAAATGAAAGATTACAACTATGTGAAAAATGTTGTTAAGTACTGTAAAGTTGTGAATGACTGCGCCGAGAGAGGTGTAAAACTTATACAAGACTTTAAAAATAAAGTAAAGGACCCCGCGCAGCTTCAACTACTACTTCAAATTGTGGAGGATCATCGCAAACGAGCTTCTCTTCATAGACGAAAAAAAAATTTAATGAATATTTGATTATTTTTTTAAACAGTGTTACTTGTATTAATCTTTTTTTTATATATATATATATTTTTTTTAGCCGTTCAAATATTTACAAGTTCTGTGTTTTATAATATATATAAAAATGGCAAGGACGAGAAGAACACAGGTTTGCCTTATCACCAAGTCTCTTGTTTTTTTAAGATATTTATATAAATACGTTGTAACTAATATTAAAAATTAAAAATGAGAAAAAAAAGCAAAATGTTTCAAAGAAGTTTATACAAATGCAAAACAGTTTAATAGAGTCTTTCAAAGTTATTTTTAATGTTGAAAAAATATTTTTAATTAATTAAAAAGTTCTCAATAACATGAAGGTTAACACTACGGTAATGCAATGCTATTTATATTCAAATTTCAAAGTTATTTATTGAAAGAAAATTTAATAATTCATTTTTTTTTTTTTTTTTTTTTTTTTTTTGTCTTTTATCAAAGCTTTACAAATACGTCATACAAATATTTACAAATACAAAAATCATTCAAGAAAACAAAAATCAATAGCAACAACAAACAGAAGTTAAAATACTTAAAACTACTTTACTATTTAAATCAGAGGGTGACCCTTAAATCAATTTTTTTAACTCAAATTTTTTATAAAGTAAAAATAAGATAGTAAATTATACTTTGTGAAAAGTTGAAGATGTTACGAAATATATTTGTTAATTTTTTGAACAAAAATATTAAAAAAAAAAACACAGTAAAAAAGGATTTGCTCAACTGTTTCTAAGTGGGGGACCCTTAATTTTTTATATTTTTTAAAAATACTTAGTAAATATTTTTTTTTCTTAGGCTAAACCTCAATTTAAAAGTTAGTGTGGTAATTCGAAAATTTCGCGGAAATGGGACACCCTAATGTATCATATATCGAATAATTTTAACAATACCCATTACCGTTGCTTATTGTGAACAATCATTTTCAAAACAAATTCAAACTATTTAATTGCAAATTATCTGCGTTCTACAATGTTGCAAGAAAGACTTAGAAGCTTTTCAATACAGTCGATAGAAAATGCAACCGCAAAAGAGCTAGGAAAATTGATTTATAATTTCTTTGTATATTTTTTTTTTTTTAGAAATAAAACCCAATAAAAATGAATTCAATAAAGTTGAAAAATTTTTTTTTTAAAGGAAACAAAAAGTTACAGCACAGGGCCCCAAAAGGTTACAACACGGCTCTGGCATTAAGTAAAGTGTTCTGTTAAGCCATCATGGCAAGCATCTGTTGTAACATTGCGTTGTTGCATCTCAAATTGCTGTCTTAAAAGTTCATGTCCATGAGCAATTTGCTCTCTCTCTAGTTTTTTATTTTCTTCATCGTATTCTAATTGTTCCTTCAGAAACACAAGTGTCTGAACTGCTTCTTCGATTTATCAATATTTTTTTGGACTTACATTGTTCTCATCGTTTCGTTTTCGAGTTTTGCCAAATCTTTCCATGGCCTTTGCTCGCATTTCTACTGTTTTATTTTTTTCAGTTTCATTTACAAGTTTCTTCTGTTGTGACTCATTGTCATTTTTGTTTTCAGTATCAGAAAAATATTATACAATTCTTCTAAGCTTTCCGATTCTGTAGGACTGCTACCTCCAAGTCCTGATGTTAAATTTGCTTTGCTAGTTTTTACTTTATACTTTTTTAACAAAATCTTTCACGTACACCTAAGTATTAATAACATTTTCACGTAAGTATTAATAACATTTGCAACAGCTGACCACCCTTGTCCGCGCTCTCTTCCTTGTTTGTGGAAAAGAATTCCATTTCCAGCTATTTCTCTTAACATGAGAGTTAAAAATTCATGCAATGGGATGATGAAAAATCTTTTTCATCATCCCATTGCATAACCTAAAAAAATACACAAAAAAGCTTAGCTTGGCAGAAAAAACGTTAACAAATAAATATATACACAACTATATAATATATATATATATATATATATATATATATATATATATATATATATATATATATATATATATATTATAAACAGCTAATTTTTAAAAAAGTAAAAAAACTTTAAAACGATGTTTGATTTGTTGTTCTAATTTATATTTGAATTATAAAACTTACTTTTTCTCCACAAAATGCTCTTCCATTTTTAATACGTTCTGTAGACAACGTCAAAACGTTGAATAGATTGAATACGCGTCAAATTACTTGTCAGCAGGCTACTTTTAGGGTTTTCACTGAGAAAACAAACGTGAGCGTCGCATTTGCTAAATCTCCTTATTATACGACCACGGCGCCAGCAGAAAGAAGACTTACATAAATATTTAAAACCAAAAAAAGGAAGTCCATATTACTTTGAGTTGCCGCTTATTCCTGTTACTAGTGCAGTTAAAGCCCTTGCACTAATATTGGACGTGGGCCTAACCAAAAGTAAACTAAGAAAATCAATTAACTTTTTATTTTAAAACTCTTAAATAAACTTAAAAATCTTTACCATATTTACAAAGTTTTCATGAAATTAAAAAATTACATTTTTAAAAACACCAAAGTAAAAATAAAAACTTAATAAAAAAAAAAATTAATTATATAATTTTTTGCAAAAAAAAAAAAAAAAAAAAAAAAATTCATCAAAAATAAAATAAAACCTTAAGACTTGAACCATAATAATATGAATGATACTTCAAGACTGAATGAAACCACGGAACAAACTTTTACATAATAAACATACTAAGTCTTTTCAAAATTACAAAAAAGTTATAAAAGACCGCGAGCATGTTTATTGTTCAATTCAAAATTGTAGGTTAGCAACTTATCGTAGGTGGAGGTAAAATACTTGGTTGCGAAATAATAAAACACGGTGATTCATTAAGATACTAAATCAAACTAAACAGATTGAAGATCATTTTTAAAATTCGTTAACTAATTGACTAGACATAGTATAAACCAAACAGGTTGAAGATCGTTTTAAAAATTCGTTAACTAATTTTTGAGATATTTAAGGAGGTATCGGTCTTAAAGGCAAATCTTCTGCAATTTTGGCCCATTCTGGTATAGTCGAATCTTTAGAAAGTTGGATTTTCCAAAGTTGTCGAACAGATTTCAAATCACAAGCTTCTATCACTGGATGAGTAGGAGAGTCTTCGTTTGGTACTGACAAACATAAACCGGTGCCAGAATGCTTTATTTGATTTGTATCCTATAGTAACAACAATACAAAAAAATTTATCAAAACACATTTAATAAAAGCACTTACGAAAAATTTACAAAATTTAATTATTGAAACTTGGTAAAACGGTGTTTGTTGCTAAAACGAACTCGAGGATCCCACATATTCAACGCACAATCTAAGATAATTACAAAAAACGAAGACTACACTGTGATGACGGTTTTTTAGTAATAAAAAACTCTGATGGGCGTGTAACAGAGCAAGCTATTAAAAGCATAGTTGATTTATTTAATAGATTATTTAAGGATATAGGATTTCAAAAAGATATAAAAACATTTACAATTAATGAAATTCCGTGATGACACTTTCAGTCTAATCAAAAAAATATAACGAAAATCTTTAATAATGTTAAATACAAAAAATCCACCAACTTATCTAATTATGTTTGGGGTTTGAAATACTAATTTAAGAAAGCCGTTATTTTCATTTGGTCTATTCTGAAACCTTACATATTTACTAAAATTTTGCAAAAGGTGCCTACTATGCTTAAATGAGAAATTTGCAACTATATCATAACTGCAAGGAGGAACTTCTGAATAAACCAAAATTATATTAAAGTTTTGTAATATAAATAGTTGAGCACTTTTATTATTTTAAAATAAACTAACACACACATAATTAAATCATTTCAAACAAAATTTAATACATATTGTATTTAAGAGTTAAATATAACTAAGTCTTGTTATATATTTTATAATATAACCTTATAATCATTTTTTTATACTTATTTCTTATATAAATAATTTTTTTAAATAAATTAACACACACACAGATATATATATATATATATATATATATATATATATATATATATATATATATATATATATATATATATATATATATATATATATATATATATATATAAACATCATTTCCTTAACACAAAATTTAAACACAATCCTAATAACACAGCAGTACAAAACTTAACTAACTATAATCTATAAAAACTTAAAACTTAATTAACTATAAACTAAGAATATAATAAGAATTACCTTGTCATAAAGAAATTTTTGGTTTCCCCCCATTTCATGACATTTTTCTATGTAAACATTATCCATGTCAGCATATCTGGCATCCAAACATTCCTCTGGATATTGATGAAGTTCATAAATGTATGTCCATCGAAATATCTAAAAATATTAATTAAAAATTTTTATATATTTTTTTATATAAAAGTTTTGAGTTGATTATTGAACCTGATTGGTTGGATTTTAAAATCAAACCTGATTTGAATTTCGTTGGCCACATTTTGAAAGTTTTATTTTTCGCCCAGCATTAGCTCCATATGTGTCTAAGCATAACTTTGTATGAGTATTTTCAATCTAAAATAATAATTAATATTATTATTTTAAATTAATTACACAACAAAAAAGTTTACATTAAAAAAAAATTAATAAAAACCTACCATTTAATAAAAATTAATAAAATCCTACTATTTGTTTCGAAAACTATTTAGTTTCCAGCCTCTACTGATATTGGTTATGGAGATTAAAAAATTTTATAACAGTTGAAACAAATTTAAACAAATTACCTCACCAGAAGCTCTATCAGGTTCGTATCGAGTGCGCACTGTATCATTAGCAACATTCAACAAGTACCACTTAAAGCTTTTGCATTTATTTCTCTCCCTAACTTTAATACGCTCACTAATGTTTCCTGCATTTTGAGATCGAACCATTGGGTTTCCACGATACAAAAATTCTTTAAACTCATCCATCCATACTTCAGCAACACGTTTGAAATTTATTAAAGAAGCAAATGGTTTGTTGTAAGTATATGGAACATTTCTACGATAAACATGGCCAACCCGTGAACATGGCATGTTAAGCATTTCTCCACCACACATCCATAACTAAAAAAATTAAGATAAAATTAAGTTGAATTAGATAAATAGTTATAATAAACATGACAAGGTATGTCACACTATTTGAGAAAGTAAACAAAAAGATTTTTAATAAAAAGATTTATTTAAGATGATTATAATTATTATTTCCATCTTTATTATTATATTCAACATTGTTATTATCTCCATCTTTATCATTATCTCCATAATTATTTATTAATTTATCATTATTTTGATTGTCAAATTATAAATTATTAATATATTTATCATTATCTTGATTGTCAAACATACAGGATCAGAATTAGAAACTTGTTATTTGATTTGATTATTGAAAAAAAGTTATTTAAAACTAAAAGAAAAATAGAAAAAGTCAAAAACGTTTTCCCTTATGACTTCTACTTTTTATGAAAAGAAAAAATGTTAAAAAAGTTATTTATATTATAAAAAAAGGTATATAAAAACCTGGTTCTGTTTGATGGCAACAAAGAGCATTTATTGCCCATTTTGCTATTTGCTTTTTTTATATCTTTTTAATTTATAATTTAATTATATTTTTATTTGTTTATATTTTTTTTAGAAAAGTTAACTGGCAACAAAATAAAAAGCAGTGTATTTAGGGTTTTCATAAAATATGTAAATACACAGTTTAGCTTTAGGCCATGAAAGGGAATGATGTAATGTTTATTGTAAAGCAAGTTCAAAAAGATTTTTAAAAACAAGAATAAAGATCTATAGTGGGCATTTATGGAGTTTGAAAAGCTTTTGACAGAGTACCAAATAAAGGTAGTGTGATGGGCCTGAAGGTATTTAGATGTTGAAGAATGACTGGTAACAGTTATTACAGCTATGTATGAAAATGTCACAATAGCAATCAAAACAAAAGATGGAGTGCATGATGAGTGTTTTGAAGTAAAGATTAGTGTGCATATGGCTTCGGTGCTCAGTAATTTGCTGTTTATTGTTTTATTAGAGTCTAGTGTTGTTTTAACTTAGGAGGTATTTAGTGCAGATAAATAATTCTTAATGGCAGAGACTAAAAAAGAATTAATACTAAGATTTCAGTGTTGGAAAGATGAAATGGAAACAAAAGGATTTAGGATAAACATAAATAAAATGTTTATGCATTGTAAAGTCAAGAATAAACAAATAGAAAATATTGTATAGCCATGCGGAGAGTGTAAGAGCATGATTTAAAGCAAACACTAATTTGTACAGTTTGTAAGATATGAGCTCATAAGATGTCGTAGTAAACAAAATGCTCTTAATATTGTTTGTTTTTAGAGTGAAAAATAAGCTTTTGGTGAATGCATTAAAGTCAAGAATAAGAATGAAATGGATTAGAAAAGGCTTTAAGAGCAAGAAAAAAGGTATGCCTAGGTCAAATTCAGAAGCATCTTGAAAGAACAGGAAAATTAATGATCAGATGAATGTGTGGTGTGACTCTAAAAAATAACAATAAATAAATAATAATTTTAGATAGAGATAGGGAATAGTGTGTCTGACTCAAAAAAAATTGTTTGAACATATGGAGTATAAAAATTTAGCAGTTTCATAAGAAAATTGTTCAAGTAAAAAAAGGTCAAGACTTGGAGAAAGTAAGCTGTGATGAAAAACTTCAGTTTAAGAAAGATGATGCTAAAAATTGATCAACCAAGCACAAAAACAATCAATGCAAGTATGAAAACAAGGATCCTAAATTTATTTTTTAATAAATGTTTTAAGAAACATTTTAAGAATAAAATAAACAAATTATAAATACTAAAAATAAAAATAAAATACTTTAAAAGAGATTTCATATTGTTCACCTCCCCAAACATACATTCCTGGATCATATTTTCCTAACTCTTCCCAAAACTTTTTTGAGATGGCAAACAAGCCACCAGCCATTACGGGTGATCTAAAAACAACTCAGATTAAAATTAGTAAATTAGTAAACAATATTTTGATAATATTCACAGATTACATTTAAATTTAACAAAGGAAAAAAAAAATATTAAGAAATATCAAAATTTGTAATATTTTGTTAATGGCATTAACAAAATATTACAAATATTACAAAAAAAAATAAATTAAGAAATATCAAAATTTGTAATATTTTGTTAAATAAATTATAATTTGTTAAAAATTTGATAATTGATCAAATTAAAAGTTTGACTAATCAGTTTGATTACGGATCTTCAGTTTAACAGTATTTAATTAGTTTGATAGTTAACAATTTTATTTTAGTTGGAAAATGGAGAATAAACTTATATAATGTTAGATAATGTTAGTTTGAGATTAAACTTACTTATGATTAATCTCACACATTCACATTAACAATGATTACCTTACACCTTCAGTAACAGATTTTCGGGCTGCCTTCTGATGCTCTGTGATTCCTCTCTCTTTATAATCAAATCTCCAGTTAAATGTTCCACGAATATAAGGATCAACACCGCGATAATAAAACGAATCATGATCGATGAAATCAACTGTTGGACAAGTTACGCACCTATAATTCTTTTCTATTTCTAAATCAAAAAAATAAATAAATAAAAAGTTCAACAACAAATAGTTCAAAAAAAAATTATCATGAAGTACTAACTAAAAAATAAAATATATAACAAAATACGATTCGAAAAAAAATACAATTCAAAAAACTTTTGCAAAATAAAATTTTAAGAAATATACTAAATTAAAATTGAAAAAATCAATAACAGCTTTAACAACAGTTTAAAATATATATAACAACAAACAGTTTAAAATATAACAACAAAGAGTTAAAATATAGACTAGCGCTAGGGATTGCAAAATTACCTAACTTTTTCTTTACCAGTTTTTTGAATTAAAAATTCTCTTACTGGGTTACTGGTAAATACTGGAAATCTTGCAAATTTTAAAAAAATATTCAGAAATGAACAATATTATGAATAAAAAAAACAAACAATTTTTCAAAATATTTATTATAAATGCTCCATCTGTTGTAAATGAAACAATTTTGTCCAATACCAATTTTTTTTTTTTTTTTTTTTTTTTTTTAGATTCCAAAAATTGTCAATGACATATTTACAGTCTTATAGAGATGGTTTTACCACTCACCTGATACTTTTATCTTGATTAGTTTGCATTTTTAGTTAAGCTAAGACTTTTTAGTTAAGTTTTTAGACTGAGAATTTTTAGACTGAGAATTTTTCTTTACATATTTACAATTGTTCAAACTATATTAAGAGACTTTTAAAAATAGGAGACTTTAAAAATTTAGTTTAACCCCCTACAATTAAAAGTACTCAAACTTCAACAAATAGTAAACTCAACAATTTGTAAACAAATAGTAAAGTATCAGTGATTACAAAATTTAATTACCAGATAATAAATAAAAAATTGTGCATTTCAATTTGATTTGATTTTGTTATTCACCTCCCACTCAACTCTGTTAAATTTCCCAAGGAGAAGGTCTTGACAGAGTTGTTGACAAAGACAACAGTTGAGAAACTTTATTGTGGTTACAATCTCCTCTCAACTTCATTGTGGTTACAATCTTGTTTCAACTCTTTAACTTCAAAATACAAACCTTGATAAACAAGGCCGCTATGCATTAAGTGTGGTACAACCAGGGACGCGGTGAGGATTGAAATTGGAATTATCTTGCTTATGAGCTCTACCACTACACCACTACCGCATTTGGTAAAATTTTTTTACATTGTATAGTCAAGTAAATGTCTCTAACATTTTAAAACAAAAACACAAAGTTTTTACAGAGCCTAGTATAAAATTTTGCTATGTTGAATAGTGTTCAAAATAGCCCCATGCAGGGGCTATTCTGAATACTATTCAGGCAAAAGTTATTAAGTATAAAAAATCCTTGCTAATGTTATCTTTAGTTAAATTGAATGATATTTTTTAAGGTAATATTTGTTTTAGAGTTATTCCATATCAATAAAATAATTGCAGACGTATTTGAAATAACAATATCATAATTTTAATATATAACAAAATAGTGAAAATGCTTATTTTCTTTTTTGTAAATAAGTTTTATTTTATCTTAATATTTACTTTATTTAGACAGCGTCTTTAAAAAAGTATATAATAAAATTTTTTTTAAAAGAATAAGTACTTTTGTCATTACATAAGTCTAAAGAACATAAGTCTAAAAAACATAAGTCTACAGAACATAAGTCTACAGAACATAAGTCTACAGAACATGTCTAAAGAACAAGTTTAAAAATAATTTGATACTTAAATATGAATAAAAAAATTTAAGTATCATAAATAAGCCCAGAAAAAATAAACTGTTCGGGTAAGCTCAGTATTACCCTATAACAATAAATAGTTTTAAAAAAACACATAACAACAAACAGTTAAATACAAAACAAAATAAAGAGAGATGTAGAAAAGTTACATTGGTTAAACAAAAAATATAATTTCATTTTGTTAAAATACTTTAAGCAAAAACTAATAAAATTAATAAATTAAAAAAAATATATGTATATATTTTATGATAATTGAAAAAAATTATTTCTGAAACTTAAGAAAAGTTTGAAACTTCAATTTTCCAAAAAACAATCAAAATTCACAATAGGGAGATTCCATGTGAAAACATCCAGGGCATGCAACCCTAAGTCTCAGATTTTGCTGATTTTTAAACCACTTAAAGATTTTAGTAAATTATGAACATCCTGAAAATTTTATCGTCTAATTTCAATCGGTTCCTAAGATATAGGTATTTTAAGTTTGCCTCCAACCAACAAAAATCCGCCATTTTTAAAAATGGTTTTGGTCCTAGTTTCTGTTATATGTGTGTTGGAAAGCTGAAAATTTGTACCTTTACATATTTTGGGCCAACGAATCCAATGAAACAACTTAAAATATTTAAAAACAAGCATAACACCTAAAATTTGAACGTTTACCACAATTTTACTGGGGCGAGTCCGATCACAAAAATGCCGATATAGTTTGTTTTTTTTTTTTTTTTTTTTTTTTTTTTTTAGAAGTTGTTCTGAATAGTTAAGCTATAGTTACTAGGGTTTCTCATTTCCCGTAAATTTAGCATCCCGGGATTCCCGGTGTGTAACTTATTTATCCCGGGATTTCCCGGGATTTCCCGGCATAATTTTTAATATAATAACAAGCGGTTTCTGACACAAATTTATCTTAGCACGCTAATCTATATTACTATTTAAAATGAAATATTGTTTTAAAAAACATAAACAATCAATTGATTTGTCACTTAATCGTGAACGAATTTTTCCCATAAATAGACCCGCGGCAGAAAAAGCCCTTTCTGATTCAATTGATGTCGGCTTGATGGTCATTAATGTTGAGTATATTCTTTCTAAACTTTCGCTACGCTTTCCAGTTGCCTCAAAAAGTTTGATTTCTTTTGTGAGGTTTTTTAAATTGCTAATGTTTTCTAGAGCTGCTTTTTCTACTTGTTTGACATTACAAATAGTCGCATCCAATTTTTGTTCAAGCGTCAAAATACTTTTGCCTAATAAATATGGAGCAACAGGTTGAGGTATTGACGGGTCAGAAACCATGCTTTCATTATCACGACTCACTTCAACTATTTCATTATTTGATGAACTAAGGCTAGCATCCTCTATGTACAACCTGGTATAAATTTTTTTTGCTGTTGCTTTTAATGCATGTTTGGGCGGTAAGAGTAGTTTGGAGTTGATATTTGATTCCTGATTATAACTAATTGGGTTGTTTAAAAATTTTAGTAATCCAATTAAATTGGCATTTCTGCGTTCTTCAATTCTCTGCTGCACAGATTGAAGCAGTTTATTAGCTATAAAATTTTTTTTCTCCGTCAAATCGTCTAAGATGAATATCATTACACCTTCTGCGTCAAGTAGAGTAGCATTACTTCTACCAAGTCTTTCTATTCCAACTTTTATTGGTTGCAGAGAAAATGTTATGTCGTTCATAATCGCATATTCATCTTCGGAGATATTCAGAACTTCTTTTAAATCGATCATTGCTTTTAGTATACATGTTTTTACTTTAAGGAATCTTTCTAGCATTGCAACAAGACTATTCCACCTCGTTTTGACATCTAATATCAGCTTAAGCTCTTTATTAAACATAGATTTTACGTACATTTGTAAAACTTCATTTTTAAGAGGTGATTTACGGAACATTCGAACCACTTTTCGAACCTTCTGAATTGTTAAGGCTATATTTACGCTATTTTGTAAATCATCAATAAACGTAACGCCTGTTGAGCTGTGTGACTCATCATTACAGTCAAATACATCATCAAACTCGTCGTAATCACTCAAATTTTCATCGGAATCTTGAAACTGCGATTCAAATTCAATATATTTTGCTGAAGAGTCTGACTTTTTGTAAAAAACATCACATACTGCCAAATGAAGTCCGTGGGCATAACACAGCTGATGTTCAATACCACTTAGCCGTCCAAATTTTTTCATTACGGATGCTCCGTCAGTGACACTAGCTATGATGTGCTTTTTAATTGATAAACTGAAATCTGACAGTTTATTTTCAACTAGATCAACAATTTTTTCTGCAGGAAGTGATCCAGCTATCGGAGTCATTCCCAGGTTCCAAAACTTTGTTGATAAGTGTAAATTTACATTTAAATAACGTCGATTTTTTAAAGACGTATATTCGTCTAACGATAAAGAAAATCGCGACCCGCTAGAAATTTCTTTTGTTATCTCTAAAACCACAGTTTGTCTAGCTAATTCATATTGTTTTTTTATCATACCCATAACATGGGATGGATTTTTTGGTAATAACATGCCTTTTTCAGACAATGATTTTCTAATGAATTCACTTTTTGTTATGGCATTTATTGAGAAGCCATCCACCGTTGCTAGCTTTGACACAATTTTTTCGATAGTCTGCTGTTTAACAAACAATGTTATTTTCTTTTGAACAATTTTATTTTCCGAACCAGTATCTTCAAGTAGACGCTTCATATTTAGATCCAAATCTTTATGTGTGTTTTTTAAATGACGTAGGAGCCCACTGGTCGAAAATCCTTTGCACATTATCTTTACATTGCACTTTTTGCAAATTGCAGATTCGCCAGATTTTTCTTTACAAAAATACTGCCATGCTTTGGATCCATTTACAATTGACATAGTATAACTAAATTGAATCGCAGAACAACTAAAAGTAAAGTTACAAATATTTCTTACATATGTATGTTATCTTACGTATGACTTTTATGTGTTTGTTTGCCGTTTTTTAAATACAAAAATTATTAAATATTTCAATAATTTGATACAGAAAAAGTTTAACTTTTCAATAATTTAGAAGTTTAAAAATTAAACTTACTGTTTTCGTCGCAAGAAATCTTTTTTATTTTTTACTCATATTTTATAATAATGAGAAAAAAGAAAACATTGCATTGCAATGCATTTCTTTTTAGTTTAAGATAGTTTCAATAGCATTTCTTGTTGTGCTAGGTTTTAATATAAGGTATGAACACATAAAACACAACTAAATGCAATAATATTTTTCTTATTTTTGGTCGAATTAGTTCAAAATTATCATATGTAAAATTATTTTAAAAAAAATTATATTCCGGGATATAAGAGTGATATCCCGGGAAATCCCGCTGCCACTTTTATCCCCGGGATCCCGGGAAAACGGGATCCCGGGATCCCGTTTGAGAAACCCTAATAGTTACTACAAAGAATTGGAGAGTGGTCTTTTCTAAAACAGAAATAAAAATATGGTCAAATCTACTTAAATTTATTGCTTAAAAAACAGGTATTTTGATAAATTTAACTATACAAAAAGATGTGATAATTTGACAGTTCTGAAGCTGAAACAGTTTTGGCTATATCGAAATGTTCTTTTAGATGTTGTTGAATTGCTCTTTCTATTTTTTTAGTAGTTTTATGGTTTAGAAATGTTTATAAGGTTGTAAAATTAAAGTTAGAATGCTTACTAATTAAGTTTAAATTTCTAGTCCTAAACAACCTTGACCCCATGAACACATTGAATGAATCATAGATTTTTCTTGCATCTTTTTCAGAAATAATAATAGTATATTGATAAAATGGAATGGTTTGGAAATGTTTTAAAAGATGAATGTCACAAAATATGTTTTGTTTGAAAACAAGGATTAAAAGATTTTTGTAATCTAGAAAAGGACTTTCAAGATACTTATATTTGGAGGTCTGGTTTGCTTGAGACTACATCATACGAAGAGATAAAGTCTATTTGTTATCATCATGAGCAGGTTTTTGGACCGATATTTCTACTAAAGAATGATAAGTGTTGTGATGTTTTAAAAAGACACAAAAAGAAGGTTAAAGGTAATATATATATTTTTTGATAATTCACCTCCTCAAGGCCGAGCAGGCCACTACAGACGAGGAGGCTACTTATTTATGGTTATAACCCTCTCTTGACTCTATAACTCCGAAACACGAACCTTGACAAATGAGGCAGCTGTACGGAGAAACAAGTTGAGTGCGGTACTACCAGGGACATGGTGGGGATCGAACTCGGAACCTCTCGCTTATGAACCGAGCGGTCTACCACTACACAACTACCGCATATATATATAATTATTTATTATATATTAACTTATATATATATATATATTATATAAATTAATATATTATAATATAATATATATATATATATATATATATATATATATATATATATATATATATATATATATATATATATATATATATATATTATATAAATTAATATATTATAATATAATATATATATATATATTATATAAATTAATATATTATAATATAATATAATATATATATATATATATATATATATATACATATATATATATATATATATATATATATATATATATATATATATAAATTTAGAAGCAGGGTATGTTTATTTAAAATTAATGATTTTATTTTAGGTCAAACAACCATATCTCTTGAAATGGCTCATAACCTTAAATCCAAAAATCTAGACTGTAAACCAGGATGGAAATTTTGTCGCTCATGTATTCAGTTTTTGTCAAATCGCAATGAAGTTTCTGATAATGAAATGGATAGTGAAATTGATGGCGATGTATTATTTGTTAAAGATAAATCTTGTAATAAACAACAGTTAGACAACTCTTTAATATCAATTGGAGTCTCACCAATTAAAGTTCATGGTGTCGCAAAGCATCAACGAGTTGTAACAGCAAAAAGAAAATTAGTCAAAGCCTACACAAAAATGGAAGAAGGTGTAGCAAGTGCTTATGGAGTAAATATAAATAACTTAAGTGTAGCCTCAACTTTTTCCAGTCAATCTATGGATAAAAAAAAAAGCAAATGATCTTGATCATTTGACAACTTTAATGAAAGAAAAACTTAAAGTTGAACCATTTAAAAAAAAAGTTCAAATATTAACACTTACACCTGAATCTTGGTCTAGAAAATACGCTTCAGAATATTTTGAAGTTTCTGAACATCTTATACGACGTGCTAGGAAACTTAAAAGTGAAAATGGAATTCTTGCTATACCTGATAAGAAAATAGGCCAAAAAATACATGACTTTCTTACAGCTTTGGTTCAAGATTTTTTTCAACAAGATGAACATTCTAGAATTATGCCTGGTAAAAAAGATTGTGTTAAAGTTAAAAGTGGTCCTCCACAACAAAAAAGATTATTATTGTGCAACCTTCATGAGCTTTATATTGATTTTAAAAGTAAATACCCTAATTATAAAATAGGATTTTCAAAGTTTTGTAGTTTGCGTCCAAAATGGTGTATTAGTGTGGGACCAAATGGTACACACTGTGTATGTGTTTGTATTTACCATCAAAACTCAATATTGCTTGTAAATGCTGTCCAATGGAATGTTACATACAAAGATTTAATGTCAAAATTAGTATGTGATACAAGCAATAATGAATGCATGGTTCATAGATGTGCCAAATGTCCAGGTTATGATAACTTAAAGGCATTTTTAGATAAGGAATTAATTGAGATTGATGAAGAAGAAGAAATTCAATTCAACCAATGGCAAAGTATTGATAGATCACAATTAATTACTCAATCAGTTAACTTATTTGAATATAAAGAACTAGTTGTTTCTCACATTAATCATCTAACTTCACATTCATATATTGCTAAATGCCAAACTCGCTATTTGAAAGAATTAAAAAATAATTTAGAATACAATGAATGTATTATACAGGCAGATTTTGCAGAGAACTATTAATTTGTTATACAGGATGAAATACAAAGTTATCATTGGAATAAACAACAATGTACACTTCATCCTGTTGTTATATATTTTAAGGAATTTTCTAAAACAAATATTCAGCATAAGTCATTCTGTTTTTTAAGTGATGACAATGATCATGATACATGCTTTGTGTATGAATTTCAAAAGAAAATTGTAGAGTACATTAAGGAATATTTAGTTGGTATCAATAAAATTTATTATTTTTCTGATGGATGTTCTGCTCATTATAAAAACTATAAAAACTTTATAAATCTATGCCACCATAAGGAAGATTTTGAGATTACAGCTGAATGGGTATTTTTTGCAACCAGCCATGGAAAATCCACTTGTGATGGCATAGGTGGTATCGTTAAAAGAATAACAGCAAGAGCAAGTTTGCAAAGGGCATTGGAAAACCAAATATTAACAGTTGATGATATGCTTGAATTTTGCATCACCAATATAAACACAATCATATTTTATAAAATTTCCAAAGAAACAGTTAATGCAAGGAGACACCAACTAAAGGAGCGATTTGAAACAGGAAAAACTGTTCCAGGTACCAGAAGTTATCATCATTACATACCTATTTCAAAATTTGAAATTAGTTTTAAAAGAACAAGCGAACATCAATGTGTTGACAGATTTATACTGTCAAAAGCAGTAATGTCTGATGTTGTTGTTGTAACAAATCTAAATGATTTTGTTGCATGCAAGTACGATTCCTTTTGGTGGATAGGCATGGTTACAGAGATAGATATTATTCTAAATGATATTCAAATTAAGTTTATGCACCCTCACGGCCCTTCTCAAAACTTTATTTGGCCACAGAGAGATGATATCTGTTGGGTACCATTGTCGAGTTTGATTGCAGTAATCAAAGTCCCAACAACAAAATCAGGGCGAACATATAACATTGATGTGAATGATTATAACACAATAACTGATAAATTTTAATTTTTTTGAGTTTTTAATTTTTAAATTTTGTATATTACTTTTGTTTCTTGAACTTCTTTCTGAGTGCTCTATTTGTTTTGGAGTCTTTGTTTTTTAAGTTTATTAAATGAAGTTTGATAAATATGAAACTAATGTTTTATAAGTAATAAATTTAAGTATATTTGAAGATGTTTTTATTTCTGATTTAAGACCACAATCTGATTCTTTGTAATAACTCCAACTAAACTATTTAATACAACTTCTGAAAAAAAAACTAAATTTGCAATATACATCTGCATTTATATAATTCTCCCCCTTGAAACTAAACTTTTTTAAGATCAGATTCTAAAAAATTACAAAGAAAACAGAAACAGCTAGTCAACAACAACTAAAAGAACAGTTTGATGTAGCCTAAACTGTTTCAGTTGCAAAACTGTCAAATTACCACATTTTTTTTCTTGTTTAATTTGTCATAATACCTGTTTTTTAAGCAATAAATTTAAGTAGATTTGACCATATTTTTATTTCTGTTTTAGAAAAGACCACTCTCCAATTCTTTGTAGTAACTATAGCTTAACTATTCAGAACAACTTCTAAAAAAAAAAAAAAATCAAGCTACATCGGCATTTTTGTGATCGGACTCGCCCCAGTAAAATTGTGGTAAACGTTCAAATTTTAGGTGTTATGCTTGTTTTTAAATATTTTAAGTTGTTTCATTGGATTCGTTGGCCCAAAATATGTAAAGGTACAAATTTTCAGCTTTCCAACACACATATAACAGAAACTAGGACCAAAACCATTTTTAAAAATGGCGGATTTTTGTTGGTTGGAGGCAAACTTAAAATACCTATATCTTAGGAACCGATTGAAATTAGACGATAAAATTTTCAGGATGTTCATAATTTACTAAAATCTTTAAGTGGTTTAAAAATCAGCAAAATCTAAGACTTAGGGTTGCATTTTCAAAAAAAATTGGATGTTTTTACATGGAATCTCCCAATAACAACTACTTAAATAAAATTATTTTGAAAGTTACCAGAAACAAGTGGAGGTAACCAGCCTACATTTGCTTCACAATGTGAATCAAGAAAAATAATGATGTCACCATTTGCATGATTAGCACCATGTACACGAGCACGAATTAAACCTTCACGTTCACTGGTGCGCACAAGCTTAATTTTTGGATATGGAATAATATAATCCTCTAATTGCTTCTTTAAATGCTCTGATAATAAGAAAATTATTAATAAACTGAAACATATCTACTGAAAGTTGTTATTCAGTCACATGTTCAGTCACATGTTGTCACATGTTTATAAATTTATAGGTGTTATTAAATGTTGAAATAGTAATGAATAATGAACATTTACCTCACCTTTTTGACTGTAGTCATCACATAGAATAATTTCATGTAACAGCTTAGATGGGGAACGATTAAGTACAGAATGAACTGTACGAAGTAGAGTTGACCAACCTTCATTGTGGAAAATAATAACAACACTCACAGTTGGTAAACGTGATTGGTACTTGGTTATTTTACACCTAAAGGTGAAGGTAATATTTGTTTTTGATAGCCTGTTGTTGTTTTTAATAATGTATAATTTATAAAATGATTTTAAAACTGATTTAAATTTAGGTTTTGCATTTTTTTAGTGCAATCTTTGCAATCTTTGTAGTGTTTTGTTGATTTTTCAATATATTTTATTCTTATTTATTTTTTTGAGTTTATTATCCTAAAAACATTATTAATTTAATTTTTTAAAAAGTTTCTGTAAGATTAATACATTAGATGTTTTATTTATTTTTTCAATTATTATATTTTTTGGTATTGCATTCACAGCTCTCCTTATATTACAATAGTGGTTTATAGTACAATGATAATGGTGGTTTAGTTTTGTTTTTAGGGATTTTATGGGACCTTTTATATATAGTTTATCATTATTAATTTTTTTATTATTATTATTTTTTATACCAATTTTAAAAAAGTTGTATAGTAAATATCTTTTTTTTCACCAAAAAAAATTTTTTACAAATTTAGATCTGATTGAGTTTGACTCGTAATGACATCCTTTGATGATGTCATGACTTTTGTTTATGCGACACAATGATCGCAAAAAGTGACCAACGGAGCCGTCCATTATTTTATGTAATGACATCCTTTTCATTACAATAAGTCTAAATTATTTTATGTAATGACATCCTTTTCATTACAATAAGTCTAAATTATTTTATGTAATGACATCCTTTTCATTACAATAAGTCTAAATTATTTTATGTAATGACATCCTTTTCATTACAATAAGTCTAAATTATTTTATGTAATGACATCCTTTTCATTACAATAAGTCTAAATTATTTTATGTAATGACATCCTTTTCATTACAATAAGTCTAAATTATTTTATGTAATGACATCCTTTTCATTACAATAAGTCTAAATTATTTTATGTAATGACATCCTTTTCATTACAATAAGTCTAAATTATTTTATGTAATGACATCCTTTTCATTACAATAAGTCTAAATTATTTTATGTAATGACATCCTTTTCATTACAATAAGTCTAAATTATTTTATGTAATGACATCCTTTTCATTACAATAAGTCTAAATTATTTTATGTAATGACATCCTTTTCATTACAATAAGTCTAAATTATTTTATGCATTTATTTATGTCTGTTTTGTTTTATAATCACTTTTGTATTTTGCTGAATAATATTTGATGTTATTGTTCGTTAATTTTAGTTTTTTATTTTTAAACCTTAGTTTTTAATACTTTTAATGATAGTATTTTGATATTTATATATATTAACAATGAAATTAGTGACAATAAAAAGATTTAGGAATACTAAAATTTCTCTTTATTATAAAGTTTGTTCCTATTAAATTATTTTTGTTTGTATTACTTATTATAGTTATTATAAAATAACAAAATATGGGGGGAAAAAATGTAAATTGGAAATTGTGAAGCAAATATTTCAAAAAACCAATAAAACCTGATAAGGATTATAGTTCACATAAAGAAAAAGTATACTTTATATATAATATTTATATATTTTTCTGCTGATTTATAACAAAATATTAACATATATTAAGGAATAGATGGGGAAACATATTAACAGACAGGTAAGGGTACAAAAAAGGTACCATCAATATATATATAATTTATACAAGACAATCGATACTTTTTCATATTGCTTAATCTAATTTTATGCTACACCCAGCTATTAAACATGCATATAACATGCTATTAAACATATCGCTGCTGCAAAGCAAAACTATATTAAGTCCATTTATGGCAAAATTTTGACTTTTTTGGCTTATAATACTCTTTAGATAAAAAATTCATCAAACAAAATTCATCTCACAAAAGAACCAAAATTGATTTAACTTTTGCAATGATAAATAAAATACAAATATGTTATGTCCTAAAAAAAAATAATTAAGAGACATCATTAAAAAAAATAATTAAGAGACATCATTAAAAAAAATAATAAAGAGACATCATTAAAAAAAATATTTAAGAGACATCATTAAAAAAAATAATTAAGAGACACCATTAAAAAAAATAATTAAGAGACATCATTAAAAAAAATCATTGCTGCATAACAAAAAAAAGTTTTGTTACGCAGCAATGATTTTAAAACTTCAAAACCAAAAATTTTTTTGGTTTAAAATACTTGATACATATAACTAACTGTAAAACAAGTGGATTTAATCAAAAAAATCAAATGCAGTGATTAAATTTAAAACATTAAATGTCTTTTTCTCAGAACAGCCAAAATGGACTTAAGATGGTCTTCTTTAGCAGCGGCAATTTAATTTGCAGAATTTTGTCATATTTTATATAGTTCTAAGATTATTCAAAGTCCATTTGCATTGTTGCTTCTCCTAAATTTAAATTTTTAATTTTTTATTTGTTATATTATGAAAAATAATAACATATTCTATAAGTATTTTAAAAACAACTTCGTTTAATTAAGAAGATCAAACGCAGTGATGAATTAAAAACTTTAAATGCCTTTTTTTCAGAACAGCAAAAATGGACTTAAGATATTCTTGTTTTGCAGCGATGATATAGAGTTAAATAAGTTTACTTATAAAAAATTTTGTGTGTGAGAGACTTATGGATTAAAGAGAAAGTTTAGCAAAATTGAAATTTGTGAAAAGTTGTAAAAAATAATTATACAAAAAAAAAAAAGATACAAAAAATGTGATAATGATGATAAAAGGATAAATATGATGGATAGAATATGATTGCTAAATCATGACGTAGAGACATACAACACATAAATGTTTTGAACAACTCAAGTTATTATTAGTAGCAAGCAACTTACAAGGTTCTATAAAAAAATGCTAATGGAATGTTGAATCAGTTGTAAACTGATAATTATTATTAAGGGGTTAATTTACTGGTTTATTTATTTATAATCAAGGAGTTAATTGAGATAACATAAAAATTTCAAATTTGCGTAACAATAATTTAATTTTAATTTACTTTTGGACACATGCACATATAATCACATTCACAAAAACAAGGTAATAAATTTTATATGCAATTTACTCAATCAAAAAACATGAAAAAAACAAAAAAACCAAAACATGATTACTCTTGGGGTCGAGGATCTGGTAATGATCGATTAAAAGATATCTTATCACTTGTAAATTGATTAAACCCATAAAGAGTATATGCTTGATTTCGCTTTCCATAATCTTCAGGAGATGTAACAACAGCAATACCTTGTTCACCTGGACTAGACTGATTAGAAATTCCAGTAGGCTCATCCCAGACAACTAATTCATTTTTGACATGTTGATAATTGTATACTAAACCAAACAAAATTATTAAATAACAAACTTAAAACTTATATATATATATATATATATATATATATATATATATATATATATATATATATATATATATATATATATATATATATATATATATATATATATATATATACATATAAATATATATATATACATATATATATATATATATATATATATATATATATATATATATATATATATATATATATATATATATATATATATATATATATATATATATACAGGCCTCGCTGGGAATAAATGAGCATGAGAGCAAAGAAAAGCTCTCCTAAAACAAACTTGGGGAGCTGTGCGAGCTGCTCCTCATTGAAATCAGCGCTCTTTTTTAATTAAAATTTTTTTTTTGCAACTGTGCTTTTTAAAAAGCATTGCAGTATATTATGCAAATAATTTTGTTAAGTGACATTGTGTTTTTTACTTTAGTTACAACAATAATTATACTTTCGTAAGAAAAATTATACTTTTGCAAGAGTCGTAAATTGCTCCTGTAAACCATTTTAGGAGAGTATGGGCGAGAGCTAAAGCTCTCGCTTCCCGCCGATGCCTGTATATATATAGTAAAAATATTTATCTAATTTTTATTTTCTTCTACAGCTTGTTTCTTCATAAGTAGGATCATCAGGAAAAATTCTATCATATTAAAAGAAATACAATTAATTACAAAACAAGTTATAAAAAACATTGTAATGAAACATTCCTTCTGATGATCCAACATGTGAGAAACATATATATATATATATATATATATATATATATATAATATATATATATATATATATATATATCAACTTGTTTCTCCGCGCAGCGGCCTTGTTCGTCAAGGTTCGTGTTTCGGAGATGTAGAGTTGAGAGAGGGTTATAACCACTATTAAGTAGCCTCCTCGTAGTGTAGTGGCCTTCTCAGCCTTGAGGAGGTGAATAAAAATAATAAAAAAAAAAAAAAAAAAAATATCAGTGGTGTACACTGGATTTTTAGATGTTTGAGTTTGACACTTACACACATTTTGCAAACTCCAAACTTTTGTATGTTCATACTTATGTCAAATGAGAATGTTTTGCAAAAAATTGTGGTGATTGGAGCTTAGGGACAAAACCCAATTTTCGGGCCCACCCAGCCCTTAACGTGGGAGCAACAAGTTAAAATAATTTCTTTAGTATTTTTATCTAAGTTTATATTAATCAATGAATTTCAAATTTCATGCAATAACCTCTTAGTTTTTAGTTTTTTTGACCCTACAAAGTTTACAGCCCCCTCAAATTGAGGGGGGGTTAAAACTTTATACGGTCATAATTTTCAAAAAATAAGAAATTATTGGATGAAATTTGAAATTTGTTGATGATATAAACTTAGATAAAAATACTAAAAAAATTATTTTATCAACTTGTTGCTCCCACGTTAAGGGCTGGGTGGGCCTATATATATATATATCGTCGGGGATAGTGCAAATTCGCGTAACTAGCATTGGCTACTATATTTGGATACTATTAATTTTAACACCAAATATTTATTGTTGAGATTTAAAAAAACATGAATAATACTCTCTTTACTAAAATGAACCCAAAATCATTTAAAATAAAAAATAAATAAAGTTTTAAACTTCTCCAGTAAAAAAAATGTACTGTAGATACGCGGTATTATAAAATGCTAGTTACGCGGTTTTGCACTATCCACTACGATATATATATATATATATATATATATATATATATATATATATATATATATATATATATATATATATATATATATATATATATATCAAGGACTATTATAAGGAAAGACAAGCAAAGTCGATGTCCTGACTCCCTAGCAAAGGCCATTATTTTTATCAAAGTTGAAGTGTTTTTTAACGTTCTTGTAACATTTTTTTTTTTAATTTTAACCATTATCATGGTGAATAAATGTGGCATTGTAAATTGTAAAGGAAATTATAATAAACTTAATAAGTGTTGTATTTTTAAATTACCAAAAGATGAAATTGAGAAACAAAAATGGATTAATGTTCTTCCTTTATGTAAAAATTTTATTATTGAGCCATCTAAATTTTTTATATGTGAAAAACATTGGCCTGAAAATACAGAAATAATAACGCTGCCTGGTGGCTATACTTTACCAGCATGTGCACCTTGTATTTTTAATGTTCCTTTTTCTTGTTTACCAACGCCAAAGCTTGTGCCTCGCCAATCTAAACCTGAGGACAAGCAATTGAATTATTATATCAAAAAAGATAGAATAAATTCGTTTTCTGATTTTCATCCTGACAATGAGTTGCACAAAAAGTATAAAAATATAGTAAATTCTCGACAAGACAATAAATTCATATGCATTTTTATGTCAAAAGATTTCAAAGAGAGTTTTGTGACGATTATTGCTTATGATAAGTGTACCTTGTGTTCACTGCTAACCTTTTCAGCTTTTAAACATAGAATTACCGTTCCATTAATATTGAATTCAAACAATTGCTTAATCTTCTATTCACAATTTTTTGAAGCAATCAATTTAGTTCATAATTATAATCTAAATGTTAATGATGTTATTGAAAAGGTGACAAATACTCTTTCAGAAAATGAATTTGAATTAAATGATGATAAGAAACAAAAAAAAAAATTGAATTTTATTACAAGACAACTCAAACTCTTGTCTAAAAAGTTTATAGTTTCTCTATAGCTGATTATTGCTTTGCAATCGAGTCTTTTTATAACTGCAACTACGATCAACTTCGTGATTTTTTAGTCCTTCTAAGTAAACGAAAGCTTCAGTCTATAATTTCTGCCACTAACATTGACCATGTTTTACAAAAACCATTTGAAAACATAAAGAATAATCAACAGAAAAATGTTATTTTGATAGTTGATGAGGTAAAAATTAGGCCAACAGTTATTTATTTAAAAATTAGGCCAATATTTACTTATTTGTGTGGAGTTTTAAATGGGATGGCAAGAAATGATCCAGAATCCAAAGCAACCTCTATGCTACGTGTCATGATGAAATGCTTACATGGTGGACCTAGTTTAATGATTTCTGTTACTCCTGTTCACAAACTATATCATTGTATCAGTTTATTGTTGTGAAAGAAGCTGCTATAATAGTTGAAAAACATGGTGCAATAGTTTTAGGATCTGTAACTAATAATCATTAAATTATTCAGCAATACTGCAAAATTTTTAACAGAATAACTGACTATCAGGCCATTCATCCATTAGACAATCAGCGTGTTTGGTTTCTTTTATTTGACACAGTTCATCTATTTAAATGTATTCACAATAACTGGATTTCTGAAAAGTGTCAAAAGCTATTTCTTGATAATAAAACCATAGCTTCATTTTCAAATGTGAAAAGTTTATATTAATACGAAAAAGGTAACATTTTGAAAGTATTTCCTTTATCCTATGCTGCTGTCTATCCTTCAAGACTTCAACTACAGAGTGTGCAGCATGTTTTAAGAGTGTTTAATGAGAAAGTAGTAGCTTCCCTTAAACTAAAAGGTGCTTATGAAACATCCTCTTTTATCCAGCACATTTTATATTGGTGGAATATTGTTAATGTTTCTGCAAAAAGGCAGGATGTTAGGTTGAGAGACCACAACCAATCTGTGCAAGATAAAAATTCGAATAATCTTCAATTGTTTTTAGACATAATTAAATGTATGGAATCAGGACATGGGCCTAAACGAGTTCAGTGTCTTTATCAGACATCAATTAAGAAGGCACACCTTGCTGAGTAGTGAATCTTTCTTTTTAGATTTTTCACTTGACAAATATTGTATTGTTTATTCCTTTACGAAGTTATTTTAAGTTCATTATGTTGAAAAAAAAAAAAAAATTTAACATTGTTAAAAAGCCTCTAGAGAATATGATGTTTATATGTTTATATCTTTATAAATAGTGTCAATAATATGTTCTTTATTTTTTTTATAGAGGTTTTTTATATCCATCTTTGAAGCTTTTTAAAATAAGTTTTGATTTTGTTATTAACAATAACGTTTTATATAATAAATTATTTTAATCGTATTTCTTTTTTAAATCGAATTTATAAAACGTTGTTTAAGCCAATTTTAGTTATTTAGTAGTTAAGTGAGAAATATTGACTGGCCTTTACTAGCAGAGTCAGGGAATTGCCTTTTGCGTGTCCTTCCGTATGGTAGTCCTTGATATATATATATATATATATATATATATATATATATATATATATATATATATATATATATATATATAAATTTATAAATTATATATGTAAATTATATATATATATACATATATATATATATAAATTTATAAATTATATATATATATATATAAATTATATATATATATGTATATATATATATATATATATATATATATATATATATATATATATATATATATATACATATATATATATATATATATATATATATATATATATATATATATATATATACACACATATATATTTATTTATTTCAAAATTAGTACAAATAATTCCATATAAATACGAGTTTGCATAAAAATAGTCCATGTCCTATCATGTTTATTGAAGAATACAAAAAACACTTTTATGTACATCTTGTAGTGTAAATGTAGTTTAGACTAATAAAGAAGAGCTTCATCACGCTCTCCTATGTTGACCAAGTTAAGCTGCAAAAAGCAGCTGGTCAAGAAGTTTACAATAAAAATTATATAAAGAAATGTACAGATGGTGAATCAACTGCTTGCTGTGAAAGAGTGTTCCATTGTTTGTTACTCTATTTGTAAAAAAGTTTTCTCGTTCAATGCAACCTTTGACTAGTTGAGGCATTAATCGCTGATTGTGTCCACGAAGATTGTAATTTGTTTTTGAATTTATTAGAGTTTGAGGGGAATGAAAGCTAACTTTGTCAATCTGTTGAGTAAATTTAAACTTCTGGGTTAGGTCACCTCATTTCCTCAAGATCACACGATCTTCAAGCAATATTAATTTCAGCTTTTGTAATCTTTCCTCGTAT